GCCAACCGGATGAGAGCTATCAGGCTACCGACCCGAAGTTTGGTGGTTTGAGTTCCAGATTGAGGAAAACAAAAGCAGTATATGATGCCTTCCAATAGGGACCAAACATGTGCCACCATGACCATCACTTGGTTCCATCTCGTTTGAAATAAGGTGACCCTGATTGGATACAAGTGTGATACAAATGAGCCAAGTGATACGCATAAATTTTACCAGTCTCCAGTTGCAATTGGTTCGAACAGAGAAAACCAGATCTGTCGATCGTGAATTGGTTTCAGTTGGTCTAGTCCAGTGATAAAACTCAACTTGTGACTCGAATAGGAATTATTATTATTACTATTACTATTATTATTATCCTCATCATCCTCATAATCATCAACAACAACGACATCATCATCATCGTTTTCTTCGTGAGGCACAAACAATGTTCATTCATCTCAACGCAGTACTGTACGCGAAACAATTATTTCCGAATCAGATTTTCCCCCATTTTGTGCCTATTTTATGTTCATGCACAGCCGTGATAGTCCATCCCTGGATTAGAATAACCTGAATTTAGTAACTGACTGATTTAAAGCAGCTTGATTTCCCGAGTTAACATGCATGAAGTCTTCAGTTTCAGAGCTCAAAAGAAGGATCAAGGGTCAATAGAATTTAAATGACTTGGTGACAGCGACATTCGCCGAACTCACCAGAAATGCGTTTTGTTTCACGATTCTTAGTGTTGACCTGTTCTCTAGTACCATGAATCTGTTTCATGCCATCTGAATAAAACTTAAAAAACGTGTTTATCTAATTCCGTTGCCAGTGACCCACTGACTGTTGGCAACAAACCGTTTTAGTTCACCTTTAATCCTTGGGCAGTGGTGGCCCGGTCGTACTGTCACCAAAATTACCACCTTGGAGGACGTGTGTTCGAACCCCACCACCATCGCCTGACTTTCCCTATGGCAGCCCTTTGATTAGCCCCTTCCCCCTTCCTGAAAATTGCATCATTGTGTATTTAATAAAAGGAAGTAAAATTAACAAGAAAAGAAAAAGAAAGAACTTGCCATTGTTGTGTTTATCAATGCAAAATGTCATCTCACTGGTGAACGCTTCGGGATTGTGTGAAACATTATATGTTTCATTCACTCGCCAAACGTTGCATTGAAATCAGATGGAAAGGATTCCAATTTATGTCCCCAAAAGAAATAGCGAAGTGCTAGTGGGGAGTGGAACTTTCCATTCAGTTACCAGCAGAATTAAAAGCGCAAGCTACGATTTTGTAAATTCTCGTGCTTTGCATTTCGTTTTTCAGGTCACCGCGCTGCACCTATCATCCGACTATTCCTGCCAGTAATAGAATTATTTTTGTTAACAGTAACTCTTTTTTCATCACCAGTGTGTGTGAATCTATGTGCATCACGTAGCAATAAGAAGATTTGCAATAGATTAGAACGAATAAAGAGATACGACAAAATGCGCGGTTGATAACAACTTATATTATCCGGCAACGCTATAACTCTATCGTCGTGGACTAGCGGAGTGGTTGGGACACAGGGCCAGTTCATTAAGTGATCTACTCTCAATGGATTATAATGCACCATTGACTAAAATAATACGCATAGGCAGAAATTAATTATTTGCGCGCCCGAACACACGGGATTCCGAAGGTGGGAAGTAAAATTCGGTTGATAATCGACAGGAGCAATTCATGGAGTCTGATCTGTTGATTAATAGAAAGTTCTATCAACAGAATGAATATTAGTAAATAAAACTTGTTGCCGACCATTTCCGAAAATAAACTGAAATATACTTTTTCGGCCGGATTAGAGAAAATGACCTGAAACGTGCAGTTTAGAAAAAAAAATAACAATCCAGTATATCATTCTATGAGTCAACTGAACCCTTCGCTAGACCCACTGAATAAATTCTGATCATTGGTAATAACACTGAATCTTGATAGTGGTTTTTGGTCGCATAGATTGCGCTGGTGAAGTTTGCAAACTATTGCCTCCGAACTGGGTACATTCCGGCAAGTGACCTCTCATTTTGCAACCCTTCTTTCTACCGTGTGACGGGAATAGAAATGCGTTGCGTCGCACATTCATTGCGTGATTGGACTTAGTCCCGGATAGTGGTCCTCCACTCCAGTATTGTCCCTCCCTCCACCCCCCCCTCCCCCAGGGGTTTCAGTCAACTGTGAATGAGGGTACGGGTGGGGACAGCGATGGTCCGTTGATTTGGGTGGATGAATGCATCCCGATCGGACCTAGGTGGAATCTGCTCCATACGAGCAGATCGACGAGTATAGACAAGANAGATGCGGTCGCATACACACAGGCAGTGTGTACTTCGTTTGGAAAAACAAGAACTGGTGGTGGTGATGGTGATCAATCGAATTCAGGTTTCGACCGCAATGTATGCACATCTATTATATGACTGAATGTTTTTGATAACTGTTCGGCTGTGACCCTTCTAACCGAAAGCGAGAGACAAATAGATTTTCCTTGCCTGGTTTCGCACATATATTTCTGTGGGACAGTTGAGGTGACCTCAGGTTTCCATTTGCCAGACAATGCATTTTTTGTCACATTATTGACTGCTAAATCTCGCCCATCAGGAGAACAGGGATGAATGTGATAGCACACTTTTGCTTGCTGTGGAGTACCAGAAAAGAGTAAAAACCATGGTATTGAGATTATTCCCATGAAT